TTTGGAAGGATTCAGGATGTCTCTGAACAAAGGGGCACGACCAACTCTCCTGGGCCTTTTTGTTTCAGATCCACTTTTGGGTGGGTTATCTGGTTGTAAAAGGAAAAAAAAAAAAAAAACCCACCAAAATTCCTAAACTTTTTACTAGTCATACAAATAAGTCAATATATACAATTTTGCATAGCCAGTTTAATTATACATTTTATTTTATTTTTTTTTTGCGTACTTCATTTTCAACTTCATTTTAGCCTGTGTCTTTCCTACTTCTACATCCTTTTGACCCACACCAGCCTCTTCACCCTCCGCTGGATTTTCCTCTTTCACCCAACAATTCTCTGAGTCAGCTGGGACAAGTCTATTTCAGTTTTTGTAAAGTCTATTAGAGTCTAATTATTCGTCGGTAATGATGAACCATAATTTATTCTTAAATTTTCATATTGTTTATCCTCAACTTTTTTTGGTCCTAAGGTGTGTTCAAATAATGCTGCAAAAACATCCATGAGCATATTTTATTCAGTCATGCCATTATCATTGTGCACTAAAATTCTTCATTTTTTTCTTCTCAAATATTGCTAAAATACTATCCAAAAATCTTTGCTCTGCATACTACTACATACTAGTCCTTTTGCTTTTATATATCCAAAAGAGCAGGAAAGAAGGATAAAGGCCACTCGCATAGATACAAATGGGCAGAAAGATCTGTCCCCAGAAGGGACAGGATTGCTAAAAGAGAGCCTGCATAGTCAGGAGGGAGGAGAGCTGCCTCTTCTGTTTTGCAAATGGAAAAGGTCTGTGAAGAGGAGCACTTGCTTAGTAGGCACAGGTGGGCAGAAGGGCTGCTGCCATGCTAGTGCTTTTTTTATGTTATAGATTCCCAGGAACTGATTCATGGAATGATGGATGGATAGATATAATTTTTTTAATTAAATAGATGTTTTCAGATTGCTTTCTTTTTAAATAAATATTTTTATGTTTTACAAATAAAAATTGTGTGTATTTAAGGTATATACAACTTGATGTTTGTGGATACTGCTATACAGAATGTAATGATTACCAGAATCCAATTAATAAACATATTGATGACCTCCCATATTTATCCTTGTAATGTATTCTCTTAGCAAATTTGAAGTATATAAAACCTTATCATTAACTTCAGTGATCATGCTGTATATTAGGTTTCCAGAACTTATTTACTTACAAAACTAAGTTTGTACAAATGGGCACTCTTGTGTAACCATTATTCTATTTTCTTTTACTATAAGTTTAATTTTTTATTATTCTGCATATAAGTGAGATGTGATTTTGTTTTTCTGTGTCTTGCTTATTTCATTTAATGCCTTACAGATTCATACATTTTTTTTTTTAAATAAGGATTTATTTATTTCTTTATACAAGCACTGGGTACAGTCAGAAGCACGGGAGAGTGAGAGAACTCACCAGAGCCAGAGTGGGGAGCAGAACAGGCAGACTGATGAAATACACTGCTGAGGGGAGCAGCGGGTGTGGCAGGAAAGGTCTGCACACCATGTGGGACCCTTGCCGGCGGCCGGAGATCGAACTGGCATTGTAGAGGCTGTGGGCAGCTTCGCAGCCCAGCGTTCAACTGCTGCGCCACCAGGGGAGGCCCCAGATTCATACGTATTTTTATTTTTTTTTAAAAGATTTATCCATTTATGCATACAAGAACTGGGGTGTAGGCCAGAGGTGTGGGGGGGTGAGAGGATTCACCAGACACAGAGCAGGAACCAGAACAGGCAGACTGACTGAATTATACTTCTGAGGGGAGCAGCAGGCGAGACAGGAGAGGTCTGCTGTACCATATGGGTTGTTCCCTGGCTGGCTGGGGATTGAACTCATGCTGCTGAGTCTGCAGGATTGCTTCACAGTGTGGTGCTTAACCCCTTGTGCCACCAGGGAGGCCCCTACATTGACACTTGTGACCCCTGACCTGTGACTGCTGAAAATAGAGCATGGTGTGGACGTGGTCACTGTGGGAGTTGGGGAGTGCATGTGCTCTTTTTATTGCAGGTATAAATACCCTAAAAACTACTGCAAAAAATGATCAATAACTCATGATGCCATAAAGAGGGACCACAGTCCAGAGCAGGAACTCTGGAATCCCACAGACTAGGTTCAAATCTTGGTTGAACCTCTACTACCTGTGTGAAGGTAGGTCCAAAATTTAAATGTTTTATCAAATTTATGTAAAGGAGGCGAGAGAACACACCCGCAGGGAAGGGAGAGGGGTGCAGGGCCCAGTCCTGGAGCCCCGCAGGCCCTCGGGTGCAGAGATGCTGGGCAGGATGGTGGTGGGAGGGGTAGGGGGTTGCTGAAAAGAATGCGGGGAGTGCCCAAGGGGCATGGGAGCCATGTTCCTTCACTTTCTGCAGGCTCATCCTTAGGGGCCTGTGGGGGGAGGGGGCGGAGTGGGAGGCCGTTGCCGGGACACCGAATGCTAAAGCCCAAGAGTTCTGGCAGACGAGGTCTCTGGGGTCCCCAACAGTCCCCCCACAGAGTGACCCGTCTGATACCAAACACCTGAATCTTTGAAAAAGTCGGAGATGAGACGGGGCGTTGGGTCTTGACCTTTGCTCGATGACGTGGCTCCGGCGCGCGTGGGCCCCGCGGCCCTTGATCTGTGACGCTGCGCGGACTGTCCCAGCCCCCGAGGCGGCCAGTGCATGCGCGATCGCCGGGGCAGTTGGAAACTTAGGGGGGGCTCTCTTGGATTCTTACTCAATACTCGGATCGGTTGGCGCACTAACATCTCTCGATGGGCAATTTTCTTAGTAAATTTTGTTCTCTGTGCCGCCCGGGTGTCCGGATGGTACCGCCGCAGGCCCCTGCTTGGCAGGCGCCCTCCTATACAGCCCAGTTTCCATTCAGCCGGGCCTGGTCGGGCCCACCCAGCGGCTCCGGCACCTGCCAGCTGGCCGACTCCCAGGAGCTTCAACCGGCAGCTTTCGTCTTTATCAACTGGCTTTCATATAGCGCCACGAAGGCAATATCCCATCCCACTAGCCTTGTGCTCCCTTTTGGGGAGTCTCCCACTGGCATCACCTGGGAACCCTCCGAAGAAGCCTGTCCTGTCTGCTCGTAATTGTATGATGTTTGGACACTGCAGAGCCAGAAGTACACCACCAATGCGAGGTACACTTAATCTCTCCTCTGACAATTAAGCAAGAACCCAAGCCTGAGAAACCAGAATCCTCCAGTCACCTCTCCCCAAGTCCTTCCCCAGAGGATATTGAGGTGAGGGTCCAAGAAAAACCTACGATGACAAAGGAGAAAGAGGTATCCAGAGAGACTGTGGAGCAAGAGATCTCCACAGATAGCAAGGAGGAAGAGATCTCCAGAGACACCACGGAGGAAGAGATCTCCAGAGACACCATGAGGCATGAAGCATCCTGAGAGACCACAGAGGAAGATGATCACATTGGGGCTATGCCTTTGGCATCTTCATCCTTGACCAACAGATTCTCGCTCTGGAAGATGTAAGTAACCCTGTATCTCTGGACGTCCTTCCCACACCCCCAGAGGAAAGCTCAAGTGAGAACTCCCAGATGCCTCCCACAAGCTCCCCCGGATACCTTGTTGAGGATGATCTGCCTCCCAAGAAGCCTGAAGAGGATGCAGCGGTATTCTCTAGGCCAACCCTTGGTGGCTTCCTGTCACCACAGATGTCAACAGAGGAAGAATTGGCTGAAGACCACCTACCTAGCTTGCCAATCACATCGATATCCCAGAAGGAGATACAGGGCAAAAAGTCCTCAGATAGCCAATCAGCGAGTTCCACTTCACCAGAATCTGCCAGCAGTAGGGCCTGCAAACGGGAAAGGCCCATGCCACTTCTGCTTCCACTGTCCATGCCAATGCAGCTTCTATGGGATAGAGGTGAGATGCCCCCACCCTCTAAGCTCCCCTGTCTAGCTGTGGCCAATAACCTGGCCACACAGGAGAGCACTGAGGGTCAATTGATCCAAATCTCAGAGGGTGAAACAGAGGTACTTCAGACCATAGTGCCACTCAGCCTACCTCTTTCTTCTGCCCAAATGTCTCCTTTCCACCCACTATGCATGCCCCCAATACTTCTACTGTGTTGGCTGACATATCTGTCAGACCACAGATTGTGTCTGTTCATCCACCTCAGATACCAAATATTGATAAAGAAGCGGCACAGTCTTTAATTCACCTCCTGTTGTTGTTGTTGATAATTTTATTCCAAAGAGTTGTAATCCTATTTGGAAGAGCCTGCTGAATAATACTGGAGGCACTTCAAATTCAGTCATAGTTACAACATCCCTTATTTTGGACATCCCCATACTTAGAGCCCCTCAACCTCTCTCCAGCCATGTGCCTGCAAAAATGAATCCCAACACCTATGTCTGTAGATTCTTCCTTTCCCATTGTCCTACCTTTCACATCCCCCGACCCTTCTACACAGACCCTAATTTCTGCTGTCCAGTCCACCACTCCTGTGGCTGTCCCTCCCACAATTACAGCCCAGGAATCTGCCTTTCCATCTGTGCAACCTATTTTAGATGACATTGTCATTGGCATGGATACTGCTTCCCCTTCACTGGCTGTTATTTTCAGATCTGATCCACAGTCAAGTGAGGGATCTCCCTCATTTATTCAAGTTCATTGCAGTGTGCAGCAGTAGCATGCTGCCAAAATGCCAGTCCCCAAAAGCCTACCCACGCTGGAGTCCCCCAATATGGCCCCCATCTATTTGAATTATCCCTTTGTCCCCCATACCTCCCCTCCCCAATCTGGGACAACCCATGGCAAACAGCAGAAAGCCTCTCTTCCCAAGGCTCCTCTTTACTCCAGACAACCCCCATGGGGTATACAGCCACTCACAGTTTAACAGGTGGCACCTCAGCACACCTGCCATAGATAGTGATAGAGAAGATATGGATACCACTCTTCCGAACAAAGCAGTCACCTTTTCACCTTCCCCTCCCTCTGAGAGCCATATCGCACATTGCCTCCACCAGGTGACAGCATTGCCTCAAGCCATGTCTCTACCAGTTTACTTACAAAATCAGACAGAAAACAAACTGTGACTTTCAACTTCTCAGGCCCAGTAGCCCTCACTCTGCCTAAGTTGGGGGCCAAAGTTATGAAGGGGTATGACGGCTCTTCTCAACTGGGAAAGCTAGTAGTAGTAGCCCCAGCAAATGTTATGGGCCTATGCTCTTCTGCATCTGCAGTAACCCACCCATCTGTTGGCAACACAATGAAACAGGACTCTATAGGTTTGACATTGTCAGATTCCACAGCTCGCTCTGCTGTAAATGCCAAACAGGCTTTGATTGCCAACCCAAATGTCTCCATTGGCACAGCCACTATTGCTAATTCTGGAATTGCTACCAGTGTTTCTAGCACTGGAAACAATAGCTTATACTATGCCACCATGAGCCCATACCCACTTGGGTTGATGGGACCTGTGACCCATATGCATGGTGGAAGCTTTGGGAATAGTATATCCAACACATGATCCACTCCTTCCCCAACATCGAGAATGCCCAAACGTAAAAGGGGGGGAAAAAGGGCATCCAGCCTGCCTTCTGCTGCTCCTCGTATGATCAGGATCCATCTAACTCGAGTATAGCAACTGTGGTGGGACAACACACAGATTTGTCTGCATTTGCTTATGGGGCCCCCTTAAATCTGAGCATCTGGAGTCTAACTATGATGCAAAACACAAGTACCATGAGAGGAAATAACAATCCTGTTCCTATCAATAATTCTGGAATTACTACCAGTATTTCTAACACTGGAGACAATAAGTTACACTATGCCACCATGAGCCCAGGCCCACTTGGGGTGATGGGACATGTGACCCATATGCATGGTGGGAGCTTTGGGGATAGTATATCCAACAAATGCCCCACTCCTTCTCTGACATCAAGAATGCCCAACCGTAGAGGAGGAAAAAGAATGGCATCCAGCCCGCCTTCTGCTGCTCCTCATATCGATCAGAATCCATCTAACTTGAGTACAACAACTGTGGTGGGACAGCACAGATATGTCTGCATTTGAATACACTTATGGATCCACCGTAAACCCGTAAATCCAAGCACCTTGAGGCGACCTATGATGCAAAACACAACAAGACAGGAAATGACAACTCCATTCCTGTAGCTGGAAAAAACATCACCACAGACAACATATATGACAAGAGACATGTCTGCTTCTACTTATGATTGGTACACATGGAATTCAATTTACCAAAATATGAGTGGCACAACAGGAAATAACAGCACTGTTCCCATGGTTGGAGACCCCCAGTGATCCCAATTTCCATAAGAACATCTTGGGCCCTGCTGGACAAAGAATATCTCCTACACCTGGAGCAACTCTTACCGCAAGAAGACATACGGGACAAGAGGCAAATCTGCTTTCAGCTCCAATTATTACAACGGGGGCTCACGTAGCCATACTGCACCCACTGTGGTCTCAAATACCAGCCCCACTCCAAAGAGTAAACACGCTGCGACTTGCACATAATGTCCCCCACACATGGAAGCCATCTTTCCAATACTCTGTTGGGGACAACAGTACTCCCACAATTGCAGGACCTGGTGTTGCTAATTTCCATTAGTGGGAACCACCTGGACCAAACACAGCTAGTAAAACTGGAGGAAATAACATCTCAGCTGTCGTGGGTGGCCCCTTATGTCACTGCCTATCCTCAGAATACTGGGTACCCACCTACCCAGGCCACAGGTAATACTATGGGGGATAGCTCCACATCTGCTGCGACTGGATATGCTTATGGTTCACCATTTGTACAAAGCACATGGGACCCTGCAGGTCAAGGGACAAGTGGTGGGACAGGGTGGAGTGGCAGGGATTTTAGGAAAATTCCCCTCAAAACACTTGGACCACTTGTGACTATGGAGAGGCCACCAGTGTTTGGAGGTAGCTGCTCAGAGCAACTCTGTGGGTTTTCTGAATGTAACCAATGGCATCCTTGCCTGTGACTCACTCCCTTAACCTCCTGTAACTTTGTAGAAACTACCCAACAATTATCTAAGGAATCGCAACAAGTAAGGAGTAAATCATCCTCTGCAAACTGTCAAGATATGAATGGACAACTCAGTGTTTTAAGAGAAAATCTACTCTTTTCCTGCAAGCAAGCTGAGGACCAACCAGCCGCATGTCGGGAGTAAGTGTCAGACATCTTCTTGACTCAACTATGCAAAATGTCTTGTGCTCCAGTGGAGGAAGTGAGATCCACAGAAGGGAGAGAATGGGTGGCTCATCCTTGCCCCTTCCCTCTGGGTTTCCGTTTTCTCTCCTGCCACTCTGTAGCACTGCTGTCTAGATGATTCCTAATGTGTCACAGGAAGGCACACTTCGTGATTTAAGTTTTTTAAAAAGGATGTCTTTTTTGATTCTTTAAGTCTTAGACCGTCTTCACAGATTGCCACCCAGTCAGAGAGGAAGGATTTGGCATGAAGTTTCTTACATCAATGCCGAGAAAAACTGGGTGCCAAATGATGCGGTTTTTGGAGTTAGTGCGGGGTCCTTGGGTTTACTCTGGGAAAGGCTTCACCAGAGCTCCCCTTTCAGCGGCACGCGGCGAGTTTCTGAGCACTGTATTGTTTTTATTGCTATTGTAAATGGAATTGTCTTCACAATGTCTTTGTAAGGCTTATTAATTGTTATATATAGAAAATCTATAGTTTTTTTTTTCTGTGTTGATCTTGTATTCCACAACTTCACTGAATTAATTTATTGGTTTTAATAGGCTCTTTTGGTATTCTTTAGGGTTTTCTATATGTAAGATTACATCATCTTCAAGAAAAGAGAACTTTACTTCTTTTCTAGTTTGGATGCCTAGTTTGGATTTCCTTTTCCCTGCCTAATTGCGTTAGGTAGTACCTCCAGTAATATATTGAATAAAAATGGAAAGAATAGATATCCGCGTATTCTTGTTCTTGATCTTAAAAAAAACTTCTCAGTTTATTGAGTATTTGTTGAGTAACATTAAGTATTATGTTAGTGTATCTAATTTATTGAGAGTTTTTATCTTGAAAGGTCTTGAAAGATTGTTGCTATTGAGCAGCAGATTTTTTCTTTAATTTTTTTCTTTCATTTTATTGGTATGATGTATCACATTTATCAATTTATGTATACTGAGCTTTCCTTGAACCCAGGAATAAATCCCACTGCACAATGGTATACAGTCATTTTAATGTGTTATTGAATTTGGTTTGATATTATTTTTGGAAGATTTTTATATTTATATTAAACAGGGATATTGGCATGTTTTCTTTTTCCTTAGTGGCCTTGTCTTTTGTATTATGGTAATGCTGGTCTGGTATAAAATGAGTTTGAAAGTGTTCTCATCAATATTTGGAAAGGGCTTGAGACTAATTGGTGTTAATTAATTAAATATTTGGTAGAATTCACTGGGAAGTGTCTGGTCCTGTACTTTATTGAGAGATTTTTGATTACTGATTCAGTGAAATGATGCAGCCTAAATAAAACTGTTCTTCATACCATTTTTGCCTGCTTGTCAGATTTGTTGCTTCACTGTGTTGCTGCAATTTCCTAAGGGACTGCTGAGCTTCCCCCGCCCCCTTTTTTCTTACACGAATTTCTGTTTCATTGTTACTCTTTATGAGGGAACTAGAGGTGGGATTTTCCTACTGATGTTAAAAATCAAGTGGCTTTAAAATGTCCCATCTTATTTCCACCAGCAAGTAAGAAGGTATATATTTTCTCATATCACTAATCAAAGCTCTTTCTAATATTTTGTGAGTCTACTGAGTAAAAAAGGTTATCTAATTAGTCATGTTTATTACCCAGGATCTAATGATTTGAACATCTTTTCATCTATTTGTTGGGTATTTCATTTGCTGTTCTGTGCTTTCATCATTATAGATAATATGTCTATAACTATATCTTATCAATTTTTATGTACTCTGATGGCATTTAGGTGGGAAGGATGAGCATTATCCTTATTCTACTTACTTTCCTTCTCTTTTAGTATTTTTGAATCCCCACTTTTAAAAATTAGGGTATTTGCAGTCCTTTTTCTTTCCTCTTCCCCCGCCCCCATTTCTACATACTACCTTTTATTAGTTACACACAAACATCGTGAAGGATGCTAAGAATTATGTTTTATTTTCTAACCTCAGCCATGTCTTCTGTGTTTTCCCTACTACAAGACTCTAAGGGTAAAAAACAGTAAAATGCATCTGAAACACAGAATATTAAAGAAAAAGTGCTCAGAGATACCTTTAAAATAAGAGTTTCTCAAGCTCTTCCTTCAAAATGTGCAGAGAGCCAGTTGAGAAGAAATACACTTCTTCCCATAAAGTCAAAATTTCATGTAGATATTCAGTAATTTTTTCTTCCATTCCATTGTGTATCAGTTTATTGGTCTTGATAAATTTTGATAAATACAAATTACTCCCTGAATATGTCAATACAATTATCTATTCTGAGAAAATTTATTGTATACTATTGTGACTTGAATACTGTTTTGGGTATCCTAGTGTACTAAGCATAAATCTGTATAAATCTATCCTTTTGCTTCTTTTTATAGACAGGGGAATGGTAGCACAGAAAGATGATGTGACTTGCCAAAGTTTTCTTTATTTTAATTAATTTATTTATTTATACAAGAACCGGGCTATCGTCCAGATGCATGGGAGGGTGAGAGGATTCACCAGAGACAGAGTGGAGAACAGAACAGGCAGGCTGATGAAATACACTGCAGAGGGGAGCAGTGGGCACGACAGGAGAGGTCTGCTGTGCCATGTGGGACCATCGCTGGCTGGCCGGGATCGAATCAGTGCTGCAGAGGCTGCAGACAGCTTCACAGCACGGCACTCAACCACCTGCGCCACCAGGGGAGGCCCTGCCAAAGTTTTCTTATGTGAGGACCTCTTGTTTCACTGTTCTGTTGTAGTTCCCAAGACTTAAATTTGGTAGATTATCTGTGGTCAGCCTCATCCTTTATTTTCACTTGAGTATGCTCAGGCCAAAATCTTGAAGTCATTCTTTTTTCTTTATAATTCAGTCTGTACCAGATCCTGGCAGCTCCACATTTGAAGTATTTTTAGACTCTCCATTTATGACCTCTAATGCTGCCACTCCAGTCCAAGGCATTGAATTCTCACCTGGACCACTGCTGTAGATTGTTAATTGGGCTACTTGATTATACCTTTGTCTTTCATAAAGCCCTTAAGTTCTTTTCTCTATTCAGCACCTCTTAATATCATTCATGTTCATTAATAGTAAAATGAAAGTTCTTTTCATGATCTACATGGTCTATTATGATATGAATCTTTTTTTTTTTAAGATTTATTTATTTTTATACAAGAGCTGGGGTATATGCCAGAGGCACGGGAGGGTGAGAGGACTCACCAGAGGCAGAACAGGGAGCAGAGCAGGCAGACAACAGAAATACACTGCTGAGGGGAGCAGCGGGCGAGCCAGGAAAGGTCTGCTGCGCTGTGTGGGTTGCTCCCTGGCTGGCGGGGAATTGAATTCATGCTGCAGTGGCTGTGCACAGTTTCATAGGCTGCATCCTAACCCTTGCGCCACCAGGGAGGCCCCTCAATAAAATATTTATTGAATAAATAAATGACTCTGTTGTATTGCTCCCAATCCTTGATATCTGACTCTAGTCAAATGAAACTATTTTTGGTCAGTTATGAAATCTCCAAATATTTATTCCATGTCATCTGTGCCAAGACATTTTGTTACGCTAGCTTCCTTGTCATGCCTTTGCTTACAATGCTGCTCATATGAGTTTTGCTTTTTTTCCTTGTTCAGGTATTTCCCATTGTTCAAGTACAACTCAAGTACAATTTCTTCAATGAAACCTTCAATCCCCAAGTTGCAGTTAAACACTTTCTCCTCTATGTGCCCAGTGTGCTATTTGTGGCTCCATTTTTTAAATTCTGCCTTGTATTACAGTTATTTATATACATGTCTTATCTCTCCTGAATTGAAAGAACCTTTAGGAAATCCTTATATTCCCTCAGTGCTTGTTCTGTTATTTTGGCATCCCAGGTACATGTAAGTGATTGTTGAAATATATTTGATACTTAACCCTTTACCCATGGCATTGGCTCAAATATAGAGACAGATTCAAATTTTGATTGACATAAGAAAGATTGCAGATTTTGGTGATTTCCTAAAGATGTATTAGATATTTAAGGAGTAGAGCCTCCCTGGTGGCACAAGGGGTTAAGTCTTAGCACTATGAAGCTGTCCGCAGTAACTATAGCAAAAGTTTGATCCCTGGCCAAGGAGGTGATCCATTTGGTGCAGCAGACCTCTCTTGTTTGGTCTGCTGCTCCCCTTAGCAGTGTATTTCAGTAGATCTGCCTGCTTTGTTCCCCACTCTGTCTCTGGTGAATCCTCCCACCCCTCCCCTACCCCCACCACACCTCTGGCCTGTACCCTATATCTGGCCAGCTCATATATGCATAAATAAATAAATCTTTTAAAGAAAGGGGGGAACTTAAAGGAGTAGCAGATGGACCACATGGGAACTGAATTAATCTGATCCTTTTGGAGGGGGATTTAAGAATAGGAAAGGATTTGCTTTTTTTTTTTTAAGATTTATTTATTTTTATGCAAGAACTGGGGTACAGGCCAGAGGCGCGGGAGGCTGAGAGGATTCACCAGATAGAGACCAGAGAGTAGAACAGGCAGACAGACTGAAAGCACTGCTGAGGGGAGCAGCGGGCGAGACAGGAGAGGTCTGTCAGGCAATGTGGTACTCTCCCTGGCCGGCTGGGAATCGAACCTGTACTGCAGAGGCTCCGGACTGCTCCACAGTGCAGCGCTCAACTTGCTGTGCCACTGGGGAGTCCCAGGAAAGGATTTTCTGAAAGTGATGTTGGACAGTCACTTCTGCCTTCAAAGGGATAAAGAATTAATTTATATAATTACTAATAATTAACCCTTAACTTGTGGAAGAACTTTGAACTAATACTTTTTTTTTGGTTTTGTTTTGTTTTGTTTTTTTAAATGGAGGTAACATTGGTTTACAATACTGTGTAATTCAGAGGCATAGGCTAACACCTCCTCAGATGTATATCCCTACACTAGATTACACCCACCACCAAGGAACCACAGTCTCCCATAATAGTTCATTTTGCCCCTCTCCTTTGTTTTTCATCTTGTAGTCTTAATTCT